AATGCCGATATAAAATAAAGCGTAGGAACAAAAGGAACGAAAGGAACGAATGGAAGAGAACGGCGAAAGCGGGGAAATATAGATAGTTTGGAAAATTCTTGGATACGATGAAGCCGAATTAAAAGATATTTCAAAGGAGTACACGCGAATGCTGGACGAGGAATTCCGGGAAAGGTTGGAAAATCGATACCGCATAGGAAAATAAGGTGACAGGCAAGGCGAATCGCGAGCGTGTTGTCGCGAGGGAAATATTTCGCGGATGTAAAGCACTCGCGTCTCTGCCTCTGGCGGTGTCGTGTATCGGCATGAAACTAATTTCGACCCCGCATGAATTACATCACGCGAACGGTGGGGCGCGTATCTTGGAAATACTTTTCTGGGTCAATCGCCTCCGAGCTAACTTGTATTACGTAACGACATTTACGGTTCCAGCGCCAGGTTCGGTAACTTTGCAGGGCAAATTTGCGATACTTCCGCTTTGTGCGAGGACTTCCCTGATGGGACCTTCGATGACATCTTCGCTTTTATCCTCGGAGCTCTTTAAGGGCGCCACTTCGTTGTTGGCACTCGACGACCCTCGATGCTCCGCCTGGCTTCCTGAAACAGAAAATCACAGTCGTGATACGCGTCGAATGGATTTGCCGTAATTACAGCTATAACTTATTCTAAACTATTTTTATCGACAACTCGTTTCGTCGAAAATTACTTCCTCGAAAGTTAGCTCGCTCTTCGTACCGGTGAAAGAGAGCGGGAACATTTAATCGCGTATACCCGTGTGTCGTGATTTTACCTTTCGTACACGGCTCTCTCGCTATCGCCTCCATTTAGGTAGCAAAATAGCAGAGTTCATTTTCTAATGGGACTTTCAAATAGCATATTCGTCTCGGCTTCTGCCTTTATGAATCGCTCGTAGTTTCGACAACGCTATCCGAGATCGGGTGGTAGGAAGAATTTCTATTAACCCGGATTAATTTTTCGGGAAAAAGCCGAGAGGTACGAAAGCGTTAGGGCTGACATCGAAGTTGCGAAAGCTTAAAAGCTCAAAGGCCTAAGGAAAGGTACCATCGGAGATTAAGGACGATTTTCGCGTTACTTCGTTGGCAAGAGGCACAATAGCGTGAGTTAGCGCGGCACCGACTAGTGCCGGAGAGGAAAGCGAAACGGAATTCTCTCTCGTTTCGAGATTAATGCAGCCACCGTTGCTACGATAACGCATAACCCCGGTGCAGCGTAAGTGGCTTAAGTGAATAACTTAGTCACGACAATTACGAAGCGTTGCTTCGCGTTTACAGCAGCGCGGCTATTACGAATCTACCCTGGTTTTCGTTCAAATTCACTTGCGAAACACTTAACCGTCCTACGCGCCACTTCTCCCGTACTCTTTAAAATCGTAACCGTAATAAAAGATCGCGTAACTCTCGGTACCCGGCTGAAAGGAATCCCATTTCGGGCCGGGTTAAGTATTCATCGCGCTGGTCATCGATTTTCCTTCCCTTCCTGCCTCCGACAGTCCTCTAGCTCCTTCTTCCTAGAAGCTGCGTCGAAACGCGATACGACGTTCGTTCGTCGTGCATATACGAAATCCACTCGCCGCGTGATAAGGTTCCCGTAGATGCATACGCGATCGTTTAGTCATAGTATAACGAGCCTCTATTTAGCCCGCGTACTCGAGTCGTGTACACGATGAAAACGTCGGCAATTAGCTCTCGTTACCTACCTCGAGGCTCGTTCGACGGTTCGTTAAACCTGACCCGTTTTCCCGAGTCCACGAATCGTCCTGCTCCCGGAGACCAAAGACTCGAGCAGATCTCGTCGCGTGGCAGGCCTGAAATCGCATATGACCGCGGAAATGGCACGCGTGCACGCGATCGTAGATCGACCGGCCTAGCTCGTCCTCCAGTCGCCGATTTTCTTACCGCCACTTCCTCACCGGACAGCTTTCTCCTCTTTCTTCCGACACAGTTCTGCCCACTATTACCCCGTTTTCCACTCGCCCGCAACTCGCCCGCAACTCGCCCGCAACTCGCCCGCAACTCGCCCGCAACTCGCCCGCAACTCGACGCGATTTATCGCCTTTTTATTCCCATTACCTTCCACGCGCCTCTCGGCCCACGCTAATTTTCATCCATTCCGTCGCAAGGGCGCTCGAAGAAGCTAATCGAAAAGCACACTCGTTAACGTCGTTTCGTTAAACGCGTTTTCTCCGTCTATCCTCCACCGGTTTGCTCATCTTTTTCCTCGTGTATCTCCAAGTTACGCGTACGTGACGTTTCTCTCGAATCGCTCCGATAACGAAGTACATACATGCATAGCGCTTTGCAAGTTTCGACTCGTAACAGTTTGCTGGAATATTCGACGTGTTGTACGAAGATTTTTGCTAAAACATTTTTCAAACGTTGCCCGACATCGGACTCGATTCCGTCGCCTTACGAGCTCTTTCGCCGCTTAGAAACGCTTTCTCGTTTGGCTTTGCCGGTCTTTTACGAGCTAACACACACCGATAACGATAAAGTATTACCGCGTCGGAGGTGCAACCTATTTTGCAGCCGCACGTGTGAATGGACAATGCACGATATTCGATAGACCTTCCCGACTACGTCTCCTCTTTGTCGCTGAGAAACCGACCTACCTAGAAACCTAAAACGCGCCGTCCATATTGGTTCTCAGGGTGAGTTCAAAATTATTTCCTCTTTCACGGATCATCGATACCAGGGCAACATCGAATACACCCTCGCCGCCAGAGTTACGCTTCAAGTTTCCTCGCGAACGCTTTTCTTTGCTTTTTTCTCACCGGTCACGCCGATCTCTACTACCGTCGTGGATTTTCCAGTAGAAAAGCGAGAGAAGACGTTGGCTCATAATTAAACGTATCGAGAGCAAGCAACGGGGATCGATTTATTCGTTCGACGTTGCGATAAAATACAATTAACCTAGGATAACTTTCAACGATTTCTCTCGCTTATACATGCTGATAACGCGTGCGAAAACGCAAAATCCAGTTTATGGCGGCTGGTCCCACACGCGTCGATGATAACGTATCGTACAGACGTACCGTGTACTATAACGATTTACGGTCTTCTAAATCTTTCTCGGTTTTTGTCCAACGAATTTAGACGACCGTGCCCCGAGATCTTGGGACAAGGAGCTGTAGAGAGAACGATGACTATAGAAATCGTCGGCTGTACCAGAAATATCTCTACGAGCGAATATAATCCACGGATCGTGGCAAAACCGTGTAGTCTCGGAATCTTCTCGATAGCCGGACGGTGAGATAGTTTACGAGTAATTTCGAGGAACTTCGAAGAGATCGGCAAATTAGAGATCGTGATATATCCGCGCGGTAAAGATCGCTGCGTTTAATTAAATTTCCAACTGCTCGTTTCCGACGTGTCCTCCACGACAAGAGACAAGCCGATTTTAAACGATATTTCGAGTTGGAATGCAAACGAATCGTATCCTCGGGACCACGGATCTTACCGGCGGAATAAATAGGAATACACTTTTGGCAGCGTTAACGATCTATTCGACGATGGAACGAACGGTTTACGGCCGTAGGTAAGTTTTAGCCAACGCTAACGAGCCAAAACCTGGACCCGGGCATCGAGAACGCGATAACCGGATATTACTTGTCAGCCGTCAACTGGCACAACGAATTAAGCGTTTACCGTACCGGTACGAAGGTACGTCGCCGAAATGCGAATGCGAGAAAGATATCCGTCGTATATGCCCATGCGCATACGGGTAATATATCGTTTTAATCTCTTACGAGTGGCCCTCGACCTAATCAGCGAATAATTACCGGGAAACTTTCGCGGGATTCCGACCATTTTGTTCCTCGAATAAAAACCGAGGTAATGGAATTGGTACTTACCAATGAAATGAAGTTGTATTTCCAAGAAAATGCTCGCTAGAATCAGAAGAGTTCTCATGATGATAATTAATTTGTACGTCGTTTCTTTAGACGTTCATCGTACTCTGTAACAAAAAGGGAAAAAAGATAAAGTGAGACGACGGTTCTTCGATTCAGCTGTTAATTCGGGAAACGCGCGCTGATCATGGATAAACGGAATATTTAGCGTATCGAGACATGTATATGACACGGTTGTTGTTGCACGATACGCGACCTCCGCGATTTTCTCTCCGTTACACGTAGCCACCGCGATGTTCGAGTCCTCTGCAATCGATATGAACTCGAGTAGGGTGCTGTGACCCTTAGTCTTTCCTCGTTCAACTCCAACCTTTCGTTGTAAGTGGCCCACCTTTGTTAAGTATCTTCGACGAGAGGAAGGAGAACGGAAAAATGGTTGGCAAAAACTTTTTCCGGATAAAGGATCCTCGATGTTCTTCGCGATGTTCCACGATACGGCGAGTTCCAAATATTTTCCTTTTCCGAACAGTGAAATTAACGAACCGAATTATTTGTTTTCTAAACATAGGTCAAGATCGACCTGTTCGTTGCTGGCGTTGTACTCCCATTTACGACCTCGTAGACGCAAAGAGTAGCCGTAGCCGAGAGAAACGCTATTAGCCGGAAATTTTTAATGGAAAATTAACCGGGAACAAATTGCCCACGCGGTCGAGAAATCCGTTCGATACGTCGAAAGTTATAGCAAGAACAGCCATGCGAAGTTTTCCACCTTTCGCAACGATCAAATTTCTCCTGTCTTCCGTTGCTAACAAATGGCCCCTTTTGTTGCATCGACGCCGGATTTTTCGTGTACGCGAAACAATCCCACGGCAATATTCGATAACTCAGCGAGCGAAAAAATATCGCCGGTTTATCAGCGTTTACATCATCGCGATAGTTGCAGCGGAACGTCGTACGTTGTCGTTTTAATTTATTCCCATGTTTACCCACACTTAACCGTTCGAACGTTCCCTCTAACTGTACATTCGCCGACTCCACCAACTTTTGGACACGACGCATCGTTATTTCCGCTTGCCTCGTGCTGCACGTCGCGCATGTTGGACTCTGCCCATGTCCGATTATTATCGCCACTATCGCGTAATAACTTTAACAATGAAACTGACATCTCTTCAGCGCGGTCGCAGCGATTCGCGAAACATTTTCATTCTCGTTTCCTGCTTTTTAAGCGGTCGCAATTCTCCTTCTACGCTCGTCACGCCCCACGTTCCGTGTCTTTTTTCCATTTTCCCCCTACATTCGTAGCCGGTCGTCAGTTCGAAGAGAAGTTTCATCGAATCGGTGAAACGAAAGCGATTTAATTAGCGACGACGTTCTGCCTCGCGCGTAATCTTTCACGCTGTGAAAGAGTAAAAGTTTCACGCGTGAAACTCGCCACGTTGTTGCTCTTTTAACCGGATCCTCGGAATAAATTATTCTCGACTGACTGACTTTTTACGAGTTTCTTTTCACCTTCGCCCCGTAAATCGCTCTTATCCGCGATACTCCTCGATTCCCGTCTCCTCTCCGTACGCCAAGCGTTATTACTCGCGGTGTTGGAATTATCGTTGCTACTTTGAGGCCTGATGGAACGACACACGCGCTAGTACGCGAGAGCAAGCATCCTTTCCTCTCGCTTCGAATCAACGCGCGTTTCTGGGCAAAGCACGATCGAGCGGATGCGCAACCGTGCTGTAATTTAGCTTCGCGTAAAATTTGCTGTACAGCGTGTGCAACGTATGCATGCATCGGTAAACGAACGTGTATGCAGATTGCAAAGGGTACGCCGAGACTGGAAGGAAGGAAGGAAGGAAGGAAGGAAGGTACGGCGGTGAAGGCCCGTGGTAATGATCTCGGTCGTACTACGGTTTCACGGTGATAGCCAACGCGCGCGTATTTACATACCGATATGAACATCACCGCGCGAAAGTTTGCGTAATCAGCTCCTCGCAAAGATATACAGGGAATCCCGACAGAATCGTCGCCGTGGGCTTAAATTGTACGCGTGGAAAATATGCGAAACGAGAGGAAGGAAGTTAAAACGATAACGAACGAGGGGAACGTACAACGGCCGGAATGCGGTGCAAAGACATTAAGCCGATTTCAGGTTAAACAAGTACACCGACCATCCTTCGCCTTAAATGCACACGCGTCTCACCGGTCTCTCGCCATTTTCACGCCGTTCCCTCGCCGTTCCCTCGCCGTTCCCTCGCCGTTTCCTCACCGGGGATTAATGCTTCTTTTATTCGCTGAATAATTTAAACGGGCTGTGCGTTTACACCCGCATTCGTGTCCCGGCAAAACGAAGGTACTTGTCGAAATTAAAAATCGCTCTCGCGTTCGAGCGTTACGAGAGTAAGGACTTTCAAGTGGACGCGTTACACGAGATGGCGCGATCGAAAGAGTTTCCATTCGACGTATCGTCCGTGTTTCGCGTTAATTCGAAACTGCTCGTTACGTGCCGCATGTAAGTGCCACGCTGCCCGGAAGCCTGTTCCCCAACTTATCGCGTGCAAATGAAACAAGTTCTCGCTCGACGACAAACGGACAACCTTGGGTATTATGAACTTGCTAGAAACCGTGAATTCTGTTTCAGTATTACAAACTCGCGACAAACATCGAAACAACGCGTATGTTAATGCTCGTTTCAGTGGCTCCGGCGCGAAACTCTGGTCTAGCCGTGATTCTTTTCCCTTTGTCGACTCGTGAAAAGCGTTCAACTTGAAACGTTTACGGTTCACCTCTTCGTGTCTCGCTGCCGCGTCGTTTTACCGTTCGAATTAAACATCTTTCCGAAACGAAACATCGCGATAACGAATTTACTCAACTTTTCGCCGTGCGGCGCATTTATTTCTATATTTCAGGCCACGGGGCAAAACGAGAATGAATTAATAGCAACGTACAAAATTTCCTCGTTTGTCGAGAGTGTAAAAATTATATAGATTATCAAATTTCCTCTGGAGTCGCGTGGAAACATTTCGAAACATTAGCGAATTTAATAGCAGCGCTATCCTCCCGATGCAAAAATATTGAAATATGGCGGCGATACGTTATTATGGGTGAATAAAAAAAAAAAAAAAAAAAAAAAAAAAAAAAAAAAAAAAAAGAAAAAGAGAGAGGGGTAAAAAGTGGGGAAAAAAGAGGCGATTACAAACGCAACGTGTGCACTAGAATTTATATGGAGGCTCGATCGCGCGATCAACCTCGAATCCTCTATCTGCACAATAGATATCGGGGTGTTCGCTTTTGCGCGATAAATGATAAACGATAAATGATAAATATAAGTAGATTAACAAGCGAAATCGTGGTAAAATTGTGTCGTTAATATTTGAAAATGCAGCTAAATCTCCTTTTATTAAAAACCGTTCGCGATAGAAGAACCATTACACCGTACAATGTCGTACAATCTACGCGTATTAAAGTATCAGGAATGGCTGGTGAAACGGAATTTAAATCATCGCTGATCAAACTACTTTTCGTATCCAGTCAAGCGGTTAACTTCGATGAGAATAATTGATCCGAACTAATATAAATTAATATAAATTTATACGATTACGATCAATGGCTCGGCAAGTGGAGGAGAGTATCCCCTTTATACCGTTTTCTATTTTATATCGACATCTCGATTGATTCCGAAAGTACGTGGCGTTGAAGGAACTGTACGGAGGGATGAATGACGAGTGGAATTCTTGGAAACGTCCTGACCTACCTTTTTCCTTCGAAATGCGTACGTGAGACTAGCGACAATAACGAAATGTTGACTCAGCGTCTGTCAATGACCGGTGTACTCGTCGACGCGTAGGATAGGTGAGAGAAGGTCCTGACGTGAAATCAGAGATGGAAATAGCGAAATATAAAAATTTACCTACGCTGCAAACGTTGTTCGCAGAACAAATAACGTCATCGACGTGGAGCAAAAATAATAATTATAAAAATATCGGCAATGCCAATTGCCATTAATATCGAGCAACAAATTAATGTTATTTCTTTCGGCTTATGTTTGGAAATGATTGTCGAGATTTTACGTCCCAATTAAAATTCTGTGGTACGGTAAAATTTGAATTATATTTCGGGGTTTGCTTTTTTCTTTAAAGTATTTTTATCTTTACTAACGAGTTTTCGGTAAAAATGAAACTCATCGCGCTTGAAAGAGGAAAGAAAAAAAAAAACATAAAAATTGCACAACACTTTGATGTAATTTACGTTTGATTTAACAATATATAATCCATATATTCATTCGCGGATTTTAGAGTTTATCCTAGATTTCGCCGAAAGCTTTTTCACATTTTCAGTGCATATTATCATTGAAAATCATATTTTGCGGCACAGACTGCAAGTGCCGATCGATCGACCGATTAATCAGTTGAAACCTTTGGAACGAACGTCATCGGTTAGGTGGGATTACCTTAATCTCTTGTCCACCCCCTGGACAGAGATCAGTATAGTTTTTGTGCGGTTTCCGCGCATTGACAACATGTTCGCCCCATAGCTACCGAGTCTTCGCATCGTTAGTAGTACGTTACCATGGATTATTTGTAAAGAAACGATAATTACCTCTTGGATAATTACTTAATTACCTCTTGGATTATTCGTAAAGAAACGATAATTAAAGAAACACTAGCAGCTGGAAGTAAAGCTTGTACGTAAGAAAAAGGAATTCGACGTTGTCAGGGAAGAGCGAAAAGACGAAGGGAACGAACCGATCGAATAGTTCGAACCGACATAACCAGATGTAATCCTGTTACGGCATAAAGTACGCCGGATTATAGTTGGAACGTAATTACATTTCACGCGTAGATCATTTTTCAGCTGCTTCTTGCAAAGTAATTACATTTGTAGGTCCTGCTGGGGTGTTTGCGAAAGTATACCAACTTTTCGTATTTGTAAAAACTGCTATGGTTTTACAGCGATATATGCAACATAAATTTTCGTTGCATAGTCATAACGCTGTTTTTCCCATTTCTCTTTTATTTTGCTTGCGTCACAGGAAGGAATACACTTTTTAATCAAATTTTTCTGGATGCA